AATGTGAGTTGTGTATGAGGTGAGTATTTCTGATGGCATACTTCCATAATTTATAACTTTTCAAATTACATTAAAGGCAATTAATTTACACTGCTGATAAGTACAGATTCTATTTTTCTGAAAGTAGAGATTTGCGTAGTGTAAGGGCAAACTCCATTCTAGTAACTCTCAGTGTCCCCTGCTTCATCCATAATGTAGATGGTGAACAACGACCTGAATGTAAGATAACGTCAAAATGTGAACTTGCTAAACTTCTGTACATGATCGGCTGTAGCATATGGAGATGTCCATTGATCGCACTAGCTTTTTCTACTCTTAGTCAGCAAATTTTATTATTTTTGTCTCAAGCTATATAAATTATATAAATATTCGGGTGGTTGGCTTAAATCAATCATCTGATAACTAGACGGTACCAAATGCCGTGAAATTCATTTAGGTGAGATCATGTTTGTTGGCAGATGTGTGATTGTATGACTCCTGCCGACGTTGTGATGTTTGCAGCAAGGTGAAACAATTGGTAATCAATGGCGGGTTGATGTATCGAACAAGAATACGACATGCTTGTATGAAAGACGCTTCAAAATACCTCAAACGATGACCACCTAGGCATCTAAAATATTGACTGAATGAGCAGACTGTTAATATTCTTACTATAAACAAAAAATACTTATTCAATTCTGGCCTTACACTCGGTTACCGGTTTTGATGATAATATATGCGATGTCTCTCTGGATTCGCACGGTGCAGTAGCATCGCCTCCCAGTTTCTGTTGTTCAGTGTTATACAGTTATTCCAAGACAGCTTATGGTATTAAGTACATGAAAGCAAACCGGTATTATTTTGTTGAATGAACAAAAACATGCGCGAACACCGATTAACAGAGCATTCTTGTTCTGATACAGTGTGTGTCGCTTAAGGTCGCTGAAGGAATGTTTATTTTAATTCAAAACATTTAATAACAGAGCAATGGCCTTTTTTAAGACTGAAATCATGATAATTCTCTAAGATCTATCATTATTTTTTCCAACGCAAATCAGCCATATAATTCATTCATTCACAATCGACTAGTGAAACTTAATATTTCAATTTAAAGA